CCCCAAAACCCCAAAACCCCAAAACCCCAAAACCCCTAAAAATGATTTATATATTGGATTGTTAATTCATCAGAAATGAGGGAACTAATGGTGTATCTAAGAAAGTCAAAATCTTAAAACCATAAACTATTCCTTAAAAGTTTCAACTTTTGTACATATCAGAGATGAAGCCTGGCCATAACCCATCACAAAGTCATCTCCTTACCTATTGACCTTAAAATTTAAACCCAAAGAGAGAGAAATCTCATGTATTTCCAAGAAAACGAGAATTTTTAATTTTTATATATAATTATGCCAATTTCGAGACTCATCAAAGTTGTTTACTCTTCTGAGCTAATTATGCCTATACCACTTACTTAGAAATCTCCCAAGATATATATAATAAGAAAGGGAAATAAATTAAGTACGATACAGAGGATTTCAGGAAGAACTTTGCTGGTAAAAAGAGTGTAGTAATTCTAAAATCCCTACCAGTCATTAGACTAGAGTACGATAGTTACTTCATCCCAAACGGCTTGGACTTAGTCTAGAAGTTAAAGGGGTCATTTACTCTAGTGTATTTGGAAGAATATAAGGTAATCTTCCCCTGTTTGACATTTGATTCCTTATTTTTAGCCTTTGGCTGAGGGATCCTTGAAGTAGATTTTCCTTCTACCTTTGACTTGTTCTTCTTAAGACCAAATGTAGGCTTGGCTTTGGGCTTCTTCTCAACAGATCTTGGAGAGAAAGCTCTGATAATTAAACTCTAACACATACCTGCTAGTTTTCTTGCTATCGTATTTATTTAATTTTATAGTGTTTTGCGAATTCTTTCTAGTAGCTGATCCTGGTTGGTTTTCCTTGACCAGAGAGATGGATAAATACTTCATCACAGGGCTTTTATCTAGCCTCTCATGCTTGGCATTAGCAATTTTTGAGGCAATGCCCATTCTCATTGAGGTACTAGTGTCACAAATTATGCCTGTTGAGTCAAGTGTTATTCTTTTCTCCATTGATCTCTCAACGCTTTGTCTTTCATTAGAAATATCTACTCTTTTATTATTCATCACATTCAACAGATTCTGGACAAAATAAGGATTCTCTTTTTGATTATCTATTTTGATATCTTCAATGTCAAAAGCTTCTTCTTGGAGGATCTCCTTCTGTGTTTCGGACTCAAGAGCGAGGAAAGTTGCAAGTTCTTCCTTCTCGTCTATAGTCATTATTTGATTCATGAATTACCTCCTTGGTTACTCTTAGCATCAGTATGAATAATTTTGCGTTTCTTTTCAGACATTCATCTAACTTTGTCATTTTCAGGTACAAATTGTGAAGAAATATCTTGCCTAACTCATGAGTTTGATAAGAGATCCTTGGTCTTAGGTTCTGGCAGCATGTAATAATCTCCTTTATCAATTCTGATATCTCTGCTAGGCTTTTCCTCCTTCAACATTTCTTGTTTAAACTTCTTAAGACCAGTACCATATCTATTGTTAAAGTAAAATCCTACCTGTCGAATTTATGTATAAAATGGTTTGCCACTTCAATCTGGTTCAAATCATTAAGACTATTTTCCTTATTCATTGTATATTTTTCTTGAGAGCAGGCCTTATGTGTCCTTCTTAAAATCTTAGAAACATTATTCGATTTCCCACTAGTAGTATCATACATTATCTCTTTCTGAGAGCCTGATGAGAGGTCTCTCATCATTTCCTTCACCCTTGCCTGAGATCTGGCGTCTTTTCTTGGAACTTCTGTTAGATCACTGACAAAGGAATTAAATACTAGTTTAGAATTATGCCTTCTGAGTGAAATTTCTTCCTTATTTTAACTTGTTACACTGCTCTCTTAAGGAATAACATTTATTTATCCATGATTGTGAGTTTGTACTCAAGATCATCTTTTTCAGTCTTGATTTGGTCTAGCTGTTGGCTCAGAATAGTCACAATATGGCTGACTAATCTTCTCTCAATTAATAACAGAGCGTTGATTTCATTTTTATCTTGGCAATAATACTGGTATGCATCTGTGATGTTGTAGCAATTTGGAAACTTGAACGCAGTCAACAGACAAGGAAGAATACCTAAAGACAAATAAGATTTATTCATGTAAATTATAAGGCTTACCTGTGATCGAAGCTTGAATCTCAGATTCATCAGAATACTTAGAGAAATCAGTATTTTTCTTGTTCCATAAACTAATTTTCTTAATTTTGGAAGAATTTATTCTTCCAATTGCTGATTCCTTCAGAGTATTCCCACTGCGGTTCTTGATACTATCGAGGATATTAAGCAAAGATTCCTTCAGGGTTTCCTGATCCACCTGTTCATCTTTGATAGGATCAAGGTTCTCTAGATATATGTCAGTTAGCTTATCAATGCGCTCCATTTAAATTAATTATTGATATATTCATAAATTCTTCAAGCTTTCAATAAAAGCGAGCATAAAAGGGGTTTTGGGGTTTTGGGGTTTTGGGGTTTTGGGG